ATTATTATTATTATTATTATCATCATTATTCTGTTGGTCTCAAGTATGGAATGTTTTGTTGGTATTTTAATCATTACATTAATTTATCTTACGGCATATTTACTGATGTTCCCCTGTTGAAAACCCCTTTTTAAACTTTTCCAAGGCTACAATGAAGCATTTCAAGTGTTGCGCATTTTTTTCATACTTACAAGAAATGTTGAGCTCTGAGAGTACACTGAGCACTTGCAGCCATTTTGTGAGGCAGCAGAAGTTTGTATTTTCATGCCATTGTTTGTAATGCACTGTCAGTTTGGTCAGGGAGGACAGACCGTTGAAGGCAACAGAGAGGCAGGGGTCTTCATAGTTCAGCAGCTCCAGGCTGCTCAGGCCAAACTCTGCATCCGGAGTCACTCCTGTGTGAAAGACAAGCTGGGATGATGGGTGATGACTCTACAAAGTGAAAATCCTTTCTTCATTTCTTCCCCTTATTTTTCTTTCCTCAAAGCATACATACCTGGATGTCCATATGCTTTAGCTGGACAAAAATAATCATCAGGCAGAATCCCATACTTTGGCCCCAATCTCAAGGAAAGGTGTTTTAAGTTGGGCAGACGTCCCAACATGCCATGAAGGGCAGTTTTATGGATAGGATTTTTATCGTCATGGTACTTCAGTGTGGTAAGATTGACAAGTTGCGAAATTGCAGCACTTATCTCCGATATCGAGGCTCTCTTGACCTCACACAAGCAGAGATGAGTCAGTTGTCTCAAAGATAAAAGTGAGCTGGGCAGACTCCGACAGCAACACTGACGGATGACAAGCCTCTGGAGGTGTTTTAAAGCCCCCAGTGTCACCAGAGCTGTGCCATCACTGCACTGAACCAGAGTCACTGAACCGACCCACGGCAGCCAAGCCACAGTTTGTTGCAAGACTTTTGCCGTTGCCTTTTGAACAACAATAGACTTGATTTTCCTTTGACAAAGAGTTTTCCAGAAATGTGAGTCGTAGAGCTTGTGGAGGACGATAACGCTGTCTTTCCATAAGGACCAGTGCTCGATCAGTCTCTTAAAGTACGTGCAGCTTAAACGAACATTTAATTTGTCGCGATCCGAGAGAAATCCAAACACATGGATCCAAATTTCATCCGGTAACGTTAGTTGAATCTTGGACATCGTCTCCTTTGACAAACGACGAAATGTTGACTGCACACGTATTTCCTAACATTTT